ATTTACATGTGGATGATGTTGAAACATCTGGTAGTAAACTGACCCAGTGGCTTTGGGAAAGTTTTATTTCAAGATCATGTTGGACAAAAATAAAACCAGTCAAACCCAGGTCTATTCACTAGGGGTTCTGGAGCTTTAGATCAAACTCCATGGTCTTCTTCAGCAGATGGAGTTTGGCCAGTTGTCATGTTTTTATTTTTAAACCAACATAGATTCCAAATAGAAAACTCCATCTGCTGAGGAAGATCATGACATATGAGTGAAAGCTTAACAGCAGCCACTTGGACGGAACGTTCAGTCTTCATCTCTGTTTTGTGTTTGGACCTTCATGTCAGAGACGATGTGTTTCTTACATTTGCTTTGGCAGCTGACGTTAGATAGAGTTTATGCAGTTACATGTAGATACAATGGAATCAGAGCAGGTCAGTGTGTTTTCATGAGTCAGCTGATTGGGGCCCTCGTTGATTCTGAAGGTTTCTGATGCCCTTCTGTGTCTTCATCATGTAGCTGAAATCACTGTGATCCAGTCTGGGTCACAGTGGAATATGAATGATGAAGAGAAGCTGTGATTTGTTTTTTGTAATTTGATTTCCAACAATATGTTCTTTTGTAACGGACTGTTTTGTGACATTCATTAGTTGTTAAAGCAAAACTCAGGAAATGTTCAGGCCACTTGATCAAACAGTTTGGATTCATATTTCTCACACTGTGGAGACTCAGTGTCCTTTTGTAAACAAGAAAGAATAAAGAATAGAATTTTAGTGTGAAATCTTTGTTAACAATTTGAATATATTTAAGTTGAGGTTATAATAAGTTTCCAAGAAATGATTATAAGTCAATGTAATGTCCACTGAAGTAAAGGAAACATGACTGTGTGTGTGTGTGTGTGTGTGTGTATCCTCGGTGAAGTGTATCAGTCTGTGCAGTAGCTTCCAGCTGCAACAGTCAGTTCAGTTTCTCTTCAGTCTGAATGAGGGAGGTTTTTGTACGACGCTTTTTCACTGTGTGAACGACAACTGGCTGTTGATGTAGAATTCACCCTGACAGTAGTAAACTGCTGCATCTTCAGCCTGGACTCCACTGATGGTTTGGTGGAGGAACCAGACTTGAGGTTGGAAGTAAGTTGTTGCATAATTACTAAATATAATTTGGAGAAAACCACTTTAACATAAGTTTTGAATGTTTCCACCAGGTACAATTTGTTTTTGCTTTCTTTTTTTACACTTTTACTATTCATGTATTTATTCCTCCTCCATCATGGAGGTGAACTCAGAGCAGCTTTGATAAACTTCTTACAAATTTTTATCATGATGAACTTTAAATAACAAAGTGCAGAAAAGATTAAAACCTTTATTCTATTTTCATAATGTTGTTCAAGGTAAATGTTTAATTTTCCACCACAGTAATAACCGTACAATAAAATAAAAATTGCTTTCCTCATGTAAAATTGACAGAGCACAGTTAAAGATTTGTATTTGAAAATATGCAAAATTGTTATTCAGTTTATTGTTGGAAATTGTTTCAAAGTTTAATTAAAAGTAATGTTTAGCAAAGATTATAACATTATTTTGATGATCAAGTTTTATTTCCTCATTATTTCGACATGTTTCAGTTCAAACTGTGATGATTATGTCAGTGCTGATGTGCATGAACGGCTTCTCAGAGGGGAGTGAAACAATGTGTGAGTGATTGACTAGTGGAGCAGAAACACCATCTGACAGAAACTCCTTAAAGGAGAAAATCCACTCTCACACAGTGAAGGTGTCCAGGTGTCTGCTGTTTGATTGCCAGCTGTGTGGTCCCTGTCCTCTAAGCTGATTGGTGTCTCCTAGGTGATGCCCGTCCCACCCTGAATGTGCTGGCCCCCTCCAGCGAGGAGCTGCAGCAGGGGAAGGCCACGCTCATGTGCCTGGCCAACAAGGGCTTCCCCTCAGACTGGAGTCTGGCCTGGAAGGTGGATGGCAGCAGCAGCATCAGCATTAGTGGCAGCAGCAGCGGGGAGGAGAGCAGGAGCCCCGTGGTGCTGGAGAAGGACGGGCGCTACAGCTGGAGCAGCACCCTGAGGCTCCCTGCAGACCAATGGTGGAGGATGAGCTCTGTGACCTGTGAGGCCACCAGGGGCTCCCAGACTCCAGTCTCAGAGACTCTGAGGAGAGACCAGTGTTACTGACCTGACTCTATGGGACGTTTCTACTGCTCTCAGTCTGCAGTCCTTCTGCCTGCCTGTCTGTCTCTGTCTCTCATTTCGTTTCACTGTTAACCTGTTGTTGTTAATGCACATGGTTTCAGAAGTTTACAATAAAAATTATTCTATACTATAGCAGTTATGGCTGTTAACTCACTTTCTTTGGAACAAACTCTATATGTTAAGAATGTTGGTTAGTGCATAAAATTAAAATAGTAACTTTTCTTCTAGAGAACTTTAATAGTTTTAAAACTGATTTTTCTCTTACATTCACACCTCTTTTACTTATAATAAATAGTTTTGGTAATATCCAGAATGAGACCATTTCTGCTGAAACTCACTGAGCTCTCTGGTCTTACTATCACTGACCTGGAGGAAGATCCATATGTTATTTATCAAAATATACATTATTAATGATTTCCAAGGTTAGAAGTAAAAAGCAGTCTATCATCAGCATAAAGTCATTTAACATACTGTAAATCTGATTTTAGATTTTCAACCAAAGTCTGCAAGGAGCGGGAAAGTGATTCTATGGAAACAGTGATTAGAGATAATTAATATTAATGCAAGTTTGTCTAGTTTAAGTGTTTGTAAAGTGGAAATTCTACCAAAGCAGTGATGAAGGATGAGTTGATGCTGAGGCTGAGACTCTCAGACATCATGTTTATGAAACTCTAACCAGAAGTTTTGGACGTGTGGACAGAAAACGTGGACATCATCATCAGTCAGTGTTGGAGATATTTGTTTGTCTCACGTCTATTTAGTAACAGCTGTGAGCAGTGCTGTAAGTTTTCCGAAGGTGTTCATGCTGCACTTAAAGAACTTTATGTCTATGCTGGGTTCATGCTTTACAATCCAAACTATTTCAACACCAGGTCCATTGAGTAGCTGTTCTGGAGCTTTTGATTAAATTACATGTTCTTCCTCAGCAGATGGAATTTGTCAAGTTTGAACATTTAACTTTTATACCAACATGGACACAATGTCAAATAATGTTCACAGGAGTCTGAACTTCAGCATCTACATATAATTCAATCAAAACAGGTTGATTCAATCTGCTGGGGAAGATAATGTGACAGGATTGAAAGCTCCACCACAGCTACTGAGTGAAAGTCGTGGGGACATTTTTTGTCAACTGCAGTTCCCAAGTCAAGAATAAAGTTTGTTTTTTACTGCTTTTGGTAGGTTTTCACTGTCAGAGGACACAATGTTATTGTATAAATGTTGGTAATTTTGAATTTTAATTATTAAGATATAATGTTATTATGTAGGTCAGTTATGTTTTTGCTTTTTTTGATTCAAGTTGATATTGACTTTTTCTATAGAGAAAAAAGTTTATATATAATTTAATGTTTTGTGCAACTTGAGGATGGTTTACATATATTTTGACCTAGCTTTTATTATTCTGTTGCTGATCTGTGTCTTCATATTGTCTTCCTACAGGACAAAGCTGAAACCCAGTATGAAGCTGAGGCTATGTGTCATGACAAGACATTTCTCATTAACTGTCTTAGGCTGGCTGCTTTTGATTCTTTGGCAAATCAGATAAGAATATAGGAATAAAGTTGGAAATGAGTGGATGGTGAAAAGTTGTGATGGGGAAGGTAAGGCTAACATGTGTGTGTGTGTGTTTGTGTGTGTCCTCAGTGAAGTGTATCACTCTGTGTAGTAGCTTTCCGCTGCAGCAGTCAGTTCAGTTTCTGTTCAGTCTGACTGAGGGAGGTTTTTGGACGACGCTTTTTCACTGTGTGAACGAATACTGACTGTTGATATAGAATTCACCCATACAGTAGTAAACTGCTGTATCTTCAGCCTGGACTCCACTGATGGTCAGAGTGAAGTCAGAGTTTGATCCACTGCCTGTAAAATGACTTGGAGTCCCTGATGCTCGAGTGTTAGCATCGTAAATAAGGAGTTTGGGAATTTGTCCATTTCTTTGTTGGTACCAGGAAAGGTTATCACCATTTACTCTATGACTGGTCTTACAGTTGAAGGTGACAGAGGCTCCCAGAGCAGCGCTGACGGCTCCCAGGCGAGGCACCGCGACCTGACCCTTCG